TATATATATATAGATATATATATATATATATATCCCGACCGTAGCTGCTACCTTGACGTGGTGGTCGGGCTTGCCTATCGTGATGACCCAACCGAGCTATACTGGCTGGAACATATGTTCCTCAAGGTTCTACCATGCCAGACAGGTCGATTGGAGAACGATGAGACTAAAAGCAGCTACCCAAGGTCTGAGGGCGAAGTCGTACTGCTGACTGCATAGGGGTGTGACAGCAGTAAGGTGTTTCCCTCGGACAACCAGCATCTGCAGCGATGCTGCCTTCTCACAAGGAAGGAAGTGTTAGAAAATATCGACCCTAAAAATGTCACACCTCACCCTACCTCACGGATTTCCGTCTCCTTGGGTAAGAGTGCCCACTAAGGGCTTTCAAGAGCGGAGCTAATACTCAAAAAACCTTTCATAAAAAGGCCGTGCGTGACCGGCCTCAAGCAGTTGTCCCTTGGACTCTGTGGTCACGCTCCCAGGTCTCTAAGACCAACACTAATCTATCTTCCTTTACAGGTCCCTCAAAAAACAACCTTCCACGGTGTGGGCAGCCGGGAAGTGATAACCACCCTCATACCCGTAACAGCACACGAGACCAAATTGGTCAAAATCAAATCCTTCCTACACCCACACATACCTCTCTTCTCTCCACAACTAACTCTACTCACATTCCCTTATCTGGCTGCACCGCTAATGCAAACGATGCAAGTTCACGAAACGTCATTCCTGGTCTCCTTAAACCCCGCTCTAGACTATATGTTGGATCATTTATTGTACGGACATTGTGTCAAATAGGGCAACAGCCATCATTAGCTAGGACTTTAGAATCTCGTGCCATCGATGTATGCTGCGTCTCGGAAACGCGCATACAGGATCCGAGCAGCATCATTCACTTGACCTCACCATGTCAAGATAAAGAAGCAACTCGATTTACCCTTCGTGTATCCGGTAGCCCTGATGCTGCTTCCAGGGGTCTTGCTGGCGTAGGCATAGCATTGAGTCGTAGAGCTGAACAATCTCTCCTAGACTGGATCCCAGTAGATAGTCGCTTGTGCGCTGTCCGACTAAACGGAACAGTAAGGACTCGGAAAGATAGGGGCAATCGCCGTTGCCTCTTCATCGTATCTGCCTATGCCTCCACTGACTGCAGTTCAGACGAGGTTAAAGATGAGTTTTACAGAAAGCTTTCAGACCTCCTCCAAAAAGCTAGGCGCTCCGATGAAATAATAATGGCTGGTGACTTTAATGCTCAAGTAGGTAGACTAAGTGAAAATGAAAGACACCTAGTTGGATGTTATGGTGTCGTGGCTCAGAGAACAGACAATGGTGACCGTCTGTTGCAACTGTGCTCAGACAACCGCCTATTCTTAGCAAATACTAACTTTAGGCATAAGCAAAAGCATCTGTTGACATGGCGACCCCCGAAGTCGTCTCAACGTTGGACGCAACTAGATCATATAGCCATCAGCCACCGATGGAGAGGTTCGATAGAAGACTGTCGCTTGTACTGTGGCACATGTTTAGATTCAGATCATGCTCTAGTGCGAGCTTGTATTTGTTTGAGGCTTACTGGACGTAGGAAAGACACCGTAAGGAAGCCTCTTACGGCTTTACATAATGATAACGGGGCGAAGAATATATTTCGGGAACAACTAGAAAGAGAGTCAGACAACCATGTAGGCGATTCCCATCCGGAGGCAGGTTGGAATGATATCAAGAAGGCTGTGGAACAGCAGTGATATCTGCTAGTAAGGTTGACCTTAAGGCTAGAATGAAGCCGTGGATCTCAGTAGCAACAACCGATCTGTTGGATGCCTGAAAACTCGTCCCACCTGGGCCTGAACATGATGAAGAACGAAGTCAGCTTAGGCGCAGACTGATAAAAAGTCTGCGCAACGACCGTGAACAGTGGTGGGTGGCGAAAGCAAAAGCAATGGAAAAGGCAGCGGTGACCTCAACAGTAGGCAACAATTCAGAATCATCAAAGTAACTGGTATTAGGAATCCTAGTGTAAGTGAGACTATTTCGAAAAAGGATGGTCTTATTATCCATTTTCTATCCAGGAGACTGTATCGATGGGCAGGACACTTCAGGGATCAGTTCAAACTGGCCTCGAACCATTATTTGGTTACCCACGATCTCCAGTCATCCTGAATGGCAAGTCGACGAAAGTCCCACTAGTCTTAATAAAGTTGAAAATGCATTAGGAAATCCGAAGCGAGGGCGAGCTGCAGGTCCTGATAGACTGACCCCTGAGATATTTAAGGATGGTGGTCCAGATTTAGCAACTAGGTTGACTGAGATCTTAGGTAGAATCTGGGAACTGGACGCAATCCCATCCCACTGGTCTCAATCACTGATTGTCTTAATCTATAAGAGAGGACACAAGTCTTCTTGTGACAATCACAGGGGGATCAGTCTAACTAATATAGTATCTAAAATATTGGCCTCAGTAATAATACTTCGACGCTTAACGAAAGCTCGTGAAGAGCCGACTAGAGAAACCCAGACTGGTTTTCGACCTGGACGTGTTTGTATAGACCACATTTTCACAGTAAGACAGGTCCTGGAACACAGACACACATTTAGGCGTCCTACAATAGTTGTTTTCCTGGACCTAAAAGCGGCATTTGACTCAGTGTATCGTGAGGTTCTGTGGCAGTGTCTGTCATTGAAAGGTGTACCAGAGAAGTACATTAACCTTATACAAGCTCTCAACTCGAACACCACTGGTCGAGTGGGAGCATATGGAGAACTGTCACCGAAATTCTCTACTTCAAGAGGTGTTCTCTCAAATCCTAATCTTCTGGATTCTTCAACCCCTTCTAGTTTTGACTTTCTAAACTTTTCTCACTGAATCATACTTCTTGAATAATATCTTCTAATCCTAACCTCTCCGATCACTTCTAATACCTTTACTACCTCTTCTACTATTGGATTTGAATTGACAATTACATCTCTGTGCTGATGTGGTATAGCAACATGAACTGATGTACTTACGTACGAAGTTCTACGTTGCATCTGACTGACTGACAGACTGATTCATATATATATATATGTCTGTTCAGTATGTCGAATTTAACAAGAGTTAGGTAGGAAACATAACTATCACTGAAACTATGTTTTATCTATTATCAGATCAAACAACTGGAACTGTAAATGATTGCACAGCAAGGAAAAGTCTCACTGAATCTTTGTAACTCGTTAGTCACAAGGAAGTATTAGGTTAGATGATTATTTTCATAATTTTCGCTTTATTTCTGAAAGTGATAGAAACCATAAAGCTCTAAAGTGCTTTATTTGACCAACTTTACGAATAGGTTTTCTAATTTATAGAATAGATGAAAAGATATGTAATCAATACTAATCAGCATAACTCACAGTGATTTGCAGTTTAAAAATTGTCAACTATAAAGTTGACTGTAAAGTTAATTAAGATGGAAGCTAATCTCAAGTTCTGCTTGGTTAATTTTGGCATTTTTAGAACAAAATTTAATCACATCAACCATATCTATACAGTTAATATTGGTTAGTATTCATAACAGTGAGCGTTATTATTGATAGTTGCTAAATGTTCAATTATCTACGGATATCATTATGTCTATAGGCGTCCAGTGCTTGAATTTTTTTTATCATGGTAACTTTCTCCATATTTTCTATACTAATGTGCTGTTTATGAAGTAATAATGTCTGACAGCTGGTTACTGTTTTTAGTATCCATTCCTTGACTATCTATTGTCAACTATTTGTTTTGGGAGCAACTATCACCATTACATAAAAAAGAATACGGATAACCAGTTTGATAACCATATGCTCAGTATTAATCTACTACCATAGTTTAGTGCACATTGTGATCGCTTAATCCTAACACAATCATAACAGCGAATTAAGATAAGTTTCAATCAAAGCATAACACTGTCTAATGTAAGCTCTGTAAATGTGAAATGAAAAATTTTCCTTTATCTAAAGCACTTCTTTTGTAACAACAGACTAGGAACACTGAATAACGAAATTAACCTAGTGTCTTACAGCTGCCTAGTATAAATATACATAGATATTGAATGACTCCATTATGTTCACTCAAATCCACTTACAAATCGCAAGACACAATATACATGATTTTCATTTCATTACCTAATCATACTTAATTGACATCACAATGCTATGCTTAAACGATTGTATTTATTGACTGTTTGATTTGATATGTTTCTTTTTGGTTTAAACATATATTTATTAGAAGAAAGCAGTTTATTCTTTGATGTACTTAGTTGCAAGAATATATATTTAGAAGAATGAATTGGAACATTAAAAATATCATTTTTGGTTTAGATTTCTCATAATCAAAATAACTGAGTTGAATTACTTAATCTTAAAGAGAACTTCAAACTGTAACTAGAATACTTTAATTTTCTTTGGAATAAACTTGTTCATGGTTAATATCATGGAAGTTTTGAACCATTTCAGTTTATTATGAACACTCCAAACCATTAGACAACACTCGGTCAGCATAAAACATGAATTGACGATAGTTACAATCATATTGCATCCAATAATACCGACATTCAATTCACATGATTTTCAGTTACTTAAATTGGCTTCCAGGTTACATATTTCATCGGATGTACTTGCAACTGAAGACTAAAGCTAAATGAATTTTATTATCTAGTGACTGGTTTGTCTGTATAATTTAACTTCACTGAAAATCAAAGTGACGAACGGCTGAGTGGTGACACATCAGATTGATGTTGCTTTATGAAATGGTGGTGAATTGTATTGAATCAATACTGAGGCCCGAACAACATGAAAATGGCTATTATACAATAATGTAACAGAAAATAAATCTCTTTCTCAGTATTCGGTGAAATGTCTATGAGAAACTAGCTAAATTCACCGTCTCAATTATCTTTCAAAATACATAGCAGCTCAAGTTTTACGAGGTTTTCCCATAACTAAAAGTCCCTACCACTTCAAATATAAGCAATATTTAAACTACTTACTTATGAAGATATCTCTGGAACAAGCACTTGATAGATTACCTTGAGATACGTTGCAGAACAACTCCACTTATTGGTCTCTATTTACGAACACAACTGACTTTAAATCTGATTTTTTCACGTTTAGTATGCTGTAAATCAGAACTTTTATTGGCTCTTTGTGAAGTCGAATCATAGACAAGATTCTACATCAAGGTTACTGCAAATGTCCAATCAAATGTGTGAGAGAAATAGATGTTGAATAACACTGTAACGATTGATTTAGAATTTTAAAAAAATATAGGATGTCGCATTGATTTTAATTTATCATCAAGGTTAGTTTGACCTTGAAAAGCTTAGTTCAGGTGACTTCAGCAATAGCCAATCATAGATCTTCGTTACACTAGATTGGGAATTCGACAAATCAACGCATCTGTGACGTGATATCATTTGTTCCGAAATCCGTCAGTTGCTAAACCGTCCCATGACTTAAATGTGATACAGTTATGAAAAACCAATAATCTGATGATGCAAGCACTATAAGAATGAAGCCAAATGGGTATACTTTTCTGATAAGTACAAAAACATTAAAAAATGTTATGTATTTTTTAAGTGACATATAGATTTCTGATTTTTGTAAACACAACAGTGGATGCATAATTATTTGTATAAAGTTTAACTGATTATTACATCAACGTCAAACTTGTCTACTAAGTTAGCTAGGACTTCTTCAAAAACAACAGTAAGTTAGACTTTATGAAAAATTGATTGAAGTAGATTTTGGATAGTACTTAAGAAAAACGATTAAATAATTTGAATCAATGTAAATCATTCATCATATATCTGTCTGATTACTTAGTGAAGCTAATGAACGTTTATCAGTAGGAAATCTTCTCATTAAAATCATCGTTTCACAGCAGATGATTAAATCTTCATCCATTGACTTAATATTTTTCACTAACTAAATATCCAGACTCTGTAGATAAGGAGTTGACGTTTCAAACAATAGGAACTGAGCTCAAGTTTCAGAGTGAACATTACCAATGTAGAGATTTCTCTGCGACAAGTCTTAAACAGAATGAAACACGAGATCTGGATTCTGTCGTTAACCTTAGTTCAAATATCGTAAGTAATATTTTTAATTTCTTCTTTTTTAACATCGAAAACGAACTAAATCTTAACTGTGAGAAATATTAGTCATCCACAAGAATATACTTGTCAAAATTCTCATTCATTCTATGATCTGAATGTTATGAATAAATAAGAAATGATCAGAGCTTCACCATACTGTAATTAATTTTAAATGGGACGATCACAGTAATAATTAAAACTACATTGAATCTTTAGTTTTCAATGCTTATCTGGATTTCATAATAAAATGTCACTGAGAATGTATAAAATTCGTGAAGTAATAAAAATTTTAACCGATCGATTAGTTTAATAAACCTATGAACAAATTTGTAAAAGAGAACAACTGTATTGCCAAAATAATCTTAAATATGTGTGGTTGTGAAGTTTAAACGCCCACACTTACTCCAAAACAGAAGATTGTATGTAGGATATCGATTTTTATTGATAGAAGGTCGAGTGATATCGTGGTAATATTTCTGTACAGATAAACAAAAGATGTGCACTAAAACAGTTATTGTTTCATATGTTCGATAATAAGTATTTATACGCCAGTAATCATGTTTTCTTCACGAAGTAGTTCCACTACAAATATAAGGAAAGCAAATACCTAAATATAGCTATAACTCAGATAATGTAACAATCAGAATCTTTAATTTTGATACTAAACGATGCTTTTTTATTTATTAAAATCCGCCAGTAGAACCTCATGGGCTACTGCCGGTCCCAAGCCCGGATAAAGGAGGAGGCTGTTGGGCATGGGGTTGGCGCTCCCATCCTAACTTGCCAAAAAACGCTAACCAGAAAAAATAATTCAAACCATTTTGACTCTGCTGTGGGAGTTGGAAGAAGAATTATAACGTCGCGTGATGAAAGCCGAGTTCCCACGGAAGTCACGAGGCCGATGCGTCTTCTGACAACCAGAGCAACCAGTGTTTTAGGTACATGGATCTTTCTAACATTGTGGAAGACCGGAAGACTATTCCACATTGCTGCAGAAATGAAAAGATACAACCTCGAGGTGTTCGGCATCAGTGAAATACACTGGACACAGTTAGGACAATTGAGACTAGATTCAGGGAGACTGCTGTTATACTCTGGTTATGAAGAGGAAAATGCTTCACATACACAAGGAGTTGCACTGATGCTGTCCAAACATGCACAAAAGGCACTGATAGGATGGGAATCTCAAGGACCCAGGATCATTAAAGCATCCTTTAAAACAAAGAAAGAGGACAATACAATGAACGTCATCCAATGTTATGCATCTACCAATGACTACAATGACGACGTAAAAGATCGATTCTACGCACGGTTGCAGTCAATCATCCACAGATGCTCACCAGAAGATTTGACCATTCTGACGGGAGATTTCAATGCGAATGTTGGCATGGACAGCACTGGATATGAAGACATCATCGGACTACATGGACTAGAAGAAAGGAATGAAAACGGTGAGAGATTTGCAAACCTATGTGCCTTCAACAAACTGGTCATCGGTGGCACAATATTCCCTCACAAAAGCATACACAAAGCCACATGGATTTCACCCGATCACAATACTCAGAACCAAATTGACCATATTTGTATCAACAAAACTTTCAGAAGAACCATGCAGGATATGAGAATAACAGAGCAGTCAATATAGCCTGAAATCACCACTTGCTGGTCGCCAAAATGGAACAGAAACTCAAGAAACACTTGACAACGTGGCAGACAACGTCACACGAGTTTAATACGGCTTTAATTCGGGATACCGCAAAACTCAACGAATTAAAAATAGCCCACCAGCAATCGGTTTCAGGCCTTGCATGATCTACTCAATGGAGAGGACACAACATTGGAGAACAATTTGAAAGGAATCAAGGAGGCAATCACTTCAACATGTCAGGAGGTCCTAGGTTACAAGAAGCACAATCACAAGATATGGATCTCTGTTGTTACTCTTGATAAAATTGAAGAAAGGAGGAACAAGAAGGCAGCAATCAATGTCAGCCGAACAAGAGCAGAGAAAGTTAAGACACAATCTGAATACACAGAGGCAAACAAGAAAGTGAAATGGAGCACCAGAGTCTAGAAAAGAAAATGTTTTGAAGACCTAGCAATGACGGCAGAAAAGGATGCAAGAGAAGGAAACTTGAGACAACTGTACGATACAACAAAAAAGCTCTCTGAAAACTATTGTAAACCAGAAAGACCATTGAAAGTCAAGGAAAGCAAAGTAATCAGCAACACTGAAGAACAGCGAAATAGGTGGGTAGAGCAATTTAAGGAACTCTTGAATCGACTAGCTCCACTGAACACACCCAACATAAAAGCAGCATCCACGGACCTCCGAATCGATGTTGGCGCACCTACTATTGAAGAGATCATTATGGCCATCAGACAAATCAAGAGTGACAAAGCAGCAGGACCAGACAACATTCCAGCGGAGGCAATGAAAGCAGATGTAGAAGCAACTGCGAAAATACTTCACATTCTCTTCAACGAGATTTGGGATGAGGACGAAGTACCATCAGATTAGAAAGGAGGATACCTCGTCAAAATACTAAAGAAAGGCGATCTCATCAAGTGTGGGAACTACAGAGGCATTACTCTTCTCTCAATATCAAGCAGTCTTCAACAGAGTATTGCTAAACAGAATGAAGGACTTCGTAGACACCCAACTTCGAGACCAACAGGCCGGATTTCGTAAGGATCGATCATGTACCGACCAAATTGCAACATTACGAATCATTGTGGAACAATCAATTGAATGGAACTCACCACTCTACATCAACTTCATTGACTACGAGAAACCATTCGACAGCGTGGACAAGAAAACAATATAGAGGTGGGGCTTCTTCGAATCTGTGGCGTTCCTGAGATGATAGTCAACATCATACGGAATTCTTATGATAGATTAAACTACAAAATCGTGCACGGATGTCAGCTCACTGACTCTTTCGAGGTGAAGACCGGTGTGAGGCAAGGTTGCTTACTCTCACCCTTACTCTTTCTCCTGGTGATCGACTGGATTATGAAGACGTCATCTGGACATCTGGAGGGAAGCACGGTATCAACTCGACAGTTAGGACGCAGCTGGACGATCTGGACTTCGCAGATGACCTGGCTCTTCTATCGCACACGCAACAACAAATGCAAGAGAAGACAACCAGTGTAGCAGCAGCCTCTGCAGCAGTAGGTCTCAACATACATAAAGGGGAAAGCAAGATTTTCTGATACAACACAACATGCGCCAGTCAAATCACTCTTGATGGAGATGCCATGGAGCATGTTAACACCTTTACATTTTCTGGCAGCATCATCGACAACCAAGGTGGATCCGATGCAGATGTGAGGGCACGGATTGGCAAAGCAAGGGCTGCATTTCTACAATTGAAAAATATCTGGAACTCCAAACAACTTTCAATCAAAACCAAAATCAGGATTTTCAATACAAATGTCAAGACAGTTATAGTGTATGGAGTGGAAACATGGAGAACTACGAAAGCCATCATCCAGAAGATACAAGTGTTTATTAACAGCTGTCCACGCAAAATACTTCAGATTCGTTGGCCAGACACCATCGGCACCGAATGTGAGTGAGACTTTCTCGGAAAAGAATGGCATTATTATCCATTCTCAATCCAGGAGACTGGATCGATGGGCAGAACACTTTAGGGTTCAGTTCAACTGGCAACGAGCCACTCTTATGTTACCCACGATCTCCAGTTATCCTGAATGGCAAATCGACCTAAGTCCCCCTTGTCTTAATGACGTTGGGAAAACGTTAGGAAATCTGAAACGATGACTAGCTGCAGGTCCTGATAGACTGACCCCTGAGATATTTAAGGATGGTGGTCCAGATTTAGCAACTAGGTAGACTGAGATCTTGGGTAGAATCTGGGAACTGGACGCAATCCCATCCCACTGGTCTCAATCACTGATTGTCTTAATCTATAAGAGAGGACACAAGTCTTCTTGTGACAGTCACAGGGGGATCAGTCTAACTAATATAGTATCTAAAATACTGGCCTCATTAATACTTCGACGCTTAACGAAAGCTCGTGAAGAGCAGACTAGAGAAACCCAGACTGGTTTTCGACCTGGACGTGTTTTGAATTTTATGTTTTCGTGCCAAAGACGCTCACTTTGACCTTCAGCATGCATTTCCCACTCGGGAAATCCTTGACTGTCTTTGGTTGGTGGATTATTGTAGTACGCTATTTCGTGGCTCTCATCGAGGGTCATTGTATAAATAAGCTTGAGTTGTGTGTTTGTTGGCCTCATACTTTCTGGGTGTACGTGGAATACATTTCTCTACGTCTTGTCAAGACTTCTTCCTATAGTTAGCCGGGCCTGGGAAGATCAGATAAGAATAGCCTATCTTGTCACTGACTCATTAATCTTCGTTCCGTTTATCGAGTAAGGTGAACGCCTAATAGTTCCGAGCATATTATTGAAAATTGGGGGTTATCGAGTATATACTCAGAAGTTCAAAGTGTAATAAACAAGTCATATCTCAGTTAGGATATAAAAAAATTAATATTTAAGAGTCCTAGTACTATACGTTCAGTTTTCTACTCACTGGGATACTTCAAATATATTAGTATTTCTATAAAAATAAACACTGCTTTCGTTTAATATATCTGGATTGGTCAAGTCAGTTATTAATTGAAATACTTACTTTCCTAGTTCACTGTTCATTATTTTTCTAAACAGATTATTTAATCATAAGATTAAGGTTCATATTGTCCAGTATTACTGATACCTCAAACCAGGACATAAACATAAATATTTACCTACCCAGAAAAGGTGACTAGACCAAATATCTGTTTCTTAGAGATCTGTTTCGATTCTCTTTAACTACTTACAAGTATCTTGTCATATGAACCAACTTTTTCACATCCTCTCATGCCTGTCGATTTTATTCAACTGACTCATTTTGTTGTTCTTACTGAAGCTTTCTCCAGAATCATATAAACTACTAATAACCTTGTTTTCGAAATTAAGACTATCTTAAATATCTCGCCTACCGATTTCTTGTCTTCGCTGACTAACTTGATAGATCAAGGTGTTTGTCAACCATTATAATATGAATATTACGTTCTATTGATCAATTCAGTACATCTTTTATATTTACGAAATATTTGAATTTGTTAATCATAGGGAAAGAGAAATACATTTGATTTAAAATCATATGATTTATCAATTGTTTAATTATCAGTAGTAATATAAAGTAATATAAAAGATGGAATAATTGATCGACTGTTCTTTGTCTTATTTTATTCATTATAACAGGAGAATAAAAATTGTATCGTTCAGCCGACGATTCATTCTATTCAATTAAAACTTATCAAACAATTTGCCTGTTGAACAACAGATACTGTCTTTATACAGTTACTAATAGATGTTCAAAATAATCAAAAAAAAAATAGATTTATGGGCGACAACTAATCAAAAATTGAGTCAGCTACAGTTATGGTAAGGAATTCGATGCCCTTGAGAAAATCATAATATTTATATAGATGTAAGGCGCTAACTGAAAATCGCATAGATTATTGTGATGAGAAACGCTTTTGTCAATTTCAAGTAACAAGATTAGGTTGCTGAAGTTTGATTAAATGAATAATTATTATCATTAATGTCAACAGTTTACATAAAATGATTTGTTCGTTGAAATGTTTTTTTATGCTCGAATTGAAATCAAAAAGGGTGGACAGAGACAATTCAAGAAGATTAGAGATTTATGCCTATTTATGTTGTAAGTAGTTCACATTTTAATAAAATGGATCATTTTGAATAGAGGAATTGTGAACTCCAGGCCCAGTTAGTTAACACATAGCAACATATGGATGACTTTGGCTGACCTGTCAGCTAATCAGGACACTCTCCTGGATATGTGACGAGTAACAGCACAAAGTAATAAAATAACAGTGGGATAATAGATTTGATATGAATAATGTACCTTCATATGCCGAATTTTCATTACGAAACGATATAAGCTGTGATGCTACGCTTTGTCACCCTTCATCCAACAAACTTAAGACGCTTATAACTGAGGTTTAGAGAATAGGTTATAAGGAGAGCTATCTTCACAGCAAATTACATCAAAACATAGTCTACAACCTACCTTGGTTGGGAGTGAATTTTAAATTTTAATGTAGGGACAATTTAAAAGTAACTTTTTAATTGCATAGTAGAAATTACCTCGCTAACACTAAAATATAAGCTTTCTCTACATCAGCTTTAAATTCTGCGTAAAGTACATGAGCTGACTATAAGTTTATTGGCCAGTTATATGGAGCCAGAATCCTTAAAGTTACTATACATTCATGGAAATGGAGACATTTTGGTAGATTATAAGCAGCGTCTCTTACATTTATTCTATGCGCTACCTAGTTTTCTTCGACACAGAATAGCTGAATGGCGTGCACAAGCTGTTGAAAATGACTATCCAGCCACAGCGGTTGTTCTGCGAGGTTTAGGCTGCAGCCAAAGTCGTAAAACATTAATCAGAAAAATTAATGATTACAAGCGCGAATTTTTCTCACGTTGGAATGACATCAAACTAGATGTATTAGTATGCCCAACTTCACCAATACCTGCTCCATGGGATGATAGTCCATCGTATGTAACTAATTGTGTATTGCCGTTTACATGTTTATACAATTTGCTTGGTTGTCCAGCTGGTACTTTATCTGTGGGACGCGTTGAAAAGTGTGATTTGCAAGCATGTGACAATATCTCCAATGATCATTTCAAAGTTTCTCCGCATAATATGATGTTCTCTGAACAGCATAAAGGTTCGGAAGGTTTGCCGATTGGTGTACAAGTTATCGCAAAACCATGGAATGATGAATTAGCACTTGGGCTACTCTCCAGATTACAATCAATTCTAACTTGATTACTTTTATCTATTGTCACTTTGCAGCTCACCAGTTAGTTCAACTTTTGCTCAATTATGTTTGCACAAATATTCATACTTTATTAGTGATTTATGATTCCTTTTACAGTAAAATATCTCTCTATTTTCAAAAGATCTTCTCAGTCAATGTGATGTAAAATTATAGTTTTATTAGTGAATTATTCACAGCCATGTTATTGGTTATATTCTTGTTTACATTCTGACAATTTTCAAGTCTTCTCAAAAATCAAAGTTTATGTAGTCTATACATTTTGTATGTTTTTAATGGGTGGACCAAGTGCTTATTTTGTAAACCATGTTCTTGTGGTTCTGCTAAATGTATCAATATTTTCATGTATATATTTGTTTTAGCAAAATATAATTCGCTTGTGTGCATACTAAATTGAAAATAATCAGGTGACAGTTTTAATTTATTTCACAACGTTTTATTAAAGGTTAATTATCATTTTTAGTTTATTATACTGGAATAAACAGTAACCACTTTCGGTTGGTAATCTTGTGTTGTAATGAACAAGATTTACATCGCGTAACTACGTTTCAACTAAATGAGTGTGAACATTGAGAACTATGTAAACGTTAGTGTCTTGAAGTTTATCAGCAAGTTAGAAACTTGATTTCCATCAAACTTCAGATGAATCAGTGTTTGCGACGTTAGATACCCAGAACTCACATGGAAGAGGTCCTAATTTTGTACTTTAGTTTTAAATTTTGAATTTTATGTTTTCGTGCCAAAGACGCTCACTTTGACCTTCAGCATGCATTTCCCACTCGGGAAATCCTTGACTGTCTTTGGTTGGTGGATTATTGTAGTACGCTATTTCGTGGCTCTCATCGAGGGTCATTGTATAAATAAGCTTGAGTTGTGTGTTTGTTGGCCTCATACTTTCTGGGTGTACGTGGAATACATTTCTCTACGTCTTGTCAAGACTTCTTCCTATAGTTAGCCGGGCCTGGGAAGATCAGATAAGAATAGCCTATCTTGTCACTGACTCATTAGTCTTCGTTCCGTTTATCGAGTAAGGTGAACGCCTAATAGTTCCGAGCATATTATTGAAAATTGGGGGTTATCGAGTATATACTCAGAAGTCCAAAGTGTAATAAACAAGTCATATCTCAGTTAGGATATAAAAAAATTAATATTTAAGAGTCCTAGTACTATACGTTCAGTTTTCTACTCACTGGGATACTTCAAATATATTAGTATTTCTATAAAAATAAACACTGCTTTCGTTTAATATATCTGGATTGGTCAAGTCAGTTATTAATTGAAATACTTACTTTCCTAGTTCACTGTTCATTATTTTTCTAAACAGATTATTTAATCATAAGATTAAGGTTCATATTGTCCAGTATTACTGACAGTTCAAACCAGGACATAAACATAAATATTTACCTACCCAGAAAAGGTGACTAGACCAAATATCTGTTTCTTAGAGATCTGTTTCGATTCTCTTTAACTACTTACAAGTATCTTGTCATATGAACCAACTTTTTCACATCCTCTCATGCCTGTCGATTTTATTCAACTGACTCATTTTGTTGTTCTTACTGAAGCTTTCTCCAGAATCATATAAACTACTAATAACCTTGTTTTCGAAATTAAGACTATCTTTAATATCTCGCCTACCGATTTCTTGTCTTCGCTGACTAACTTGATAGATCAATGTGTTTGTCAACCATTATAATATGAATATTACGTTCTATTGATCAATTCAGTACATCTTTTATATTTACGAAATATTTGAATTTGTTAATCATAGGGAAAGAGAAATACATTTGATTTAAAATCATATGATTTATCAATTGTTTAATTATCAGTAGTAATATAAAGTAATATAAAAGATGGAATAATTGATCGACTGTTCTTTGTCTCATTTTATTCATTATAACAGGAGAATAAAAATTGTATCGCTCAGCCGACAATTCATTCTATTCAATTAAAACTTATCAAACATTTTGCCTGTTGAACAACAGATACTGTCTTTATACAGTTACTAATAGATGTTCAAAATAATCAAAAAAAAAATAGATTTATGGGCGACAACTAATCAAAAATTGAGTCAGCTACAGTTATGGTAAGGAATTCGATGCCCTTGAGAAAATCATAATATTTATATAGATGTAAGGCGCTAACTGAAAATCGCATAGATTATTGTGATGAGAAACGCTTTTGTCAATTTCAAGTAACAAGATTAGGTTGCTGAAGTTTGATTAAATGAATAATTATTATCATTAATGTCAACAGTTTACATAAAATGATTTGTTCGTTGAAATGTTTTTTTATTCTCGAATTGAAATCAAAAAGGGTGGACTGAGACAATTCAAGAAGATTAGAGATTTATGCCTATTTATGTTGTAAGTATTTCACATTTTAATAAAACGGATCATTTTGAATAGAGGAATTGTGAACTCCAGGCCCAGTTAGTCAACAAATGGCAACTTATGGATGACCTTGTCTGACCTATCAGCTAATCAGGACATTTTTCTGGATATGTGACGAGTAACAGCACAAAGTAATAAAATAACAGTGGGATAATAGATTTGATCTGAATAATGTACCTTCATATGCCGAATTTTCATTACGAAACGATGTAAGCTGTGATGCTACGCTTTATCACCCTTCATCCAACAAACTTAAGACGCTTATAACTGAGGTTTAGAGAATAGGTTATAAGAAGAGCTATCTTCGCAGCAAATTACATCAAAACATAGTCTACAACCTACCTTGGTTGGGAGTGAATTTTAAATTTTAATGTAGGCACAATTTAAAAGTAACTTTTTAATTGCATAGTAGAAATTACCTCGCTAACACTAAAATATAAGCTTTCTCTACATCAGCTTTAAATTCTGCGTAAAGTACATGAGCTGACTATAAGTTTGTTGGCCAGTTATATGGAGCCAGAATCCTTAAAGTTACTATACATTCATGGAAATGGAGACATTTTGGTAGATTATAAGCAGCGTCTCTTACATTTATTCTATGCGCTACCTAGTTTTCTTCGACACAAACTAGATGTATTAGTATGCCCAACTTCACCAATACCTGCTCCATGGGATGATAGTCCATCGTATGTAACTAATTGTGTATTGCCGTTTACATGTTTATACAATTTGCTTGGTTGTCCAGCTGGTACTTTATCTGTGGGACGCGTTGAAAAGTGTGATTTGCAAGTATGTGACAATATCTCCAATGATCATTTCAAAGTTTCTCCACATAATATGATGTTCTCTGAACAGCATAAAGGTTCGGAAGGTTTGCCGATTGGTGTACAAGTTATCGCAAAACCATGGAATGATGAATTAGCACTTGGGCTACTCTCCAGATTACAATCAATTCTAACTTGATTACTTTTATCTATTGTCACTTTGCAGCTCACCAGTTAGTTCAACTTTTGCTCAATTATGTTTGCACAAATATTCATACTTTATTAGTGATTTATGATTCCTTTTACAGTAAAATATCTCTCTATTTTCAAAAGATCTTCTCAGTCAATGTGATGTAAAATTATAGTTTTATTAGTGAATTATTCACAGCCATGTTATTGGTTATATTCTTGTTTACATTCTGACAATTTTCAAGTCTTCTCAAAAATCAAAGTTTATGTAGTCTATACATTTTGTATGTTTTTAATGGGTGGACCAAGTGCTTATTTTGTAAACCATGTTCTTGTGGTTCTGCTAAATGTATCAATATTTTCATGTATATATTTGTTTTAGCAAAATATAATTCGCTTGTGTGCATACTAAATTGAAAATAATCAGGTGACAGTTTTAATTTATTTCACAACGTTTTATTAAAGGTTAATTATCATTTTTAGTTTATTATACTGGAATAAACAGTAACCACTTTCGGTTGGTAATCTTGTGTTGTAATGAACAAGATTTACATCACGTAACTACGTTTCAACTAAATGAGTGTGAACATTGAGAACTATGTAAACGTTAGTGTCTTGAAGTTTATCAGTAAGTTAGAAACTTGATTTCCATCAAACTTCAGATGAATCAGTGTTTGCGACGTTAGATACCCAGAACTCACATGGAAGAGGTCCTAATTTTGTATTTTAGTTTTAAATTTTGAATTTTATGTTTTCGTGCCAAAGACGCTCACTTTGACCTTCAGCATGCATTTCCCACTCGGGAAATCCTTGACTGTCTTTGGTTGGTGGATTATTGTAGTACGCTATTTCGTGGCTCTCATCGAGGGTCATTGTATAAATAAGCTTGAGTTGTGTGTTTGTTGGCCTCATACTTTCTGGGTGTACGTGGAATACATTTCTCTACGTCTTGTCAAGACTTCTTCCTATAGTTAGCCGGGCCTGGGAAGATCAGATAAGAATAGCTTATCTTGTCACTGACTCATTAATCTTCGTTCCGTTTATCGAGTAAGGTAAACGCCTAATAGTTCCGAGCATATTATTGAAAATTGGGGGTTATCGAGTATATACTCAGAAGTTCAAAGTGTAATAAACAAGTCATATCTCAGTTAGGATATAAAAAAATTAATATTTAAGAGTCCTAGTACTATACGTTCAGTTTTCTACTCACTGGGATACTTCAAATATATTAGTATTTCTATAAAAATAAACACTGCTTTCGTTTAATATATCTGGATTGGTCAAGTCAGTTATTAATAGAAATACTTACTTTCCTAGTTCACTGTTAATTATTTTTCTAAACAGATTATTTAATCATAAGATTAAGGTTCATATTGTCCAGTATTACTGATAGCTCAAACCAGGACATAAACATAAATATTTACCTACCCAGAAAAGGTGACTAGACCAAATATCTGTTTCTTAGAGATCTGTTTCGATTCTCTTTAACTACTTACAAGTATCTTGTCATATGAACCAACTTTTTCACATCCTCTCATGCCTGTCGATTTTATTCAACTGACTCATTTTGTTGTTCACACTGAATCTTTCTCCAGAATCATATAAACTACTAATAACCTTGTTTTCGAAATTAAGACTATCTTTAATATCTCGCCTACCGATTTCTTGTCTTCGCTGACTAACTTGATAGATCAATGTGTTTGTCAACCATTATAATATGAATATTACGTTCTATTGATCAATTCAGTACATCTTTTATATTTACGAAATATTTGAATTTGTTAATCATAGGGAAAGAGAAATACATTTGATTTAAAATCATATGATTTATCAATTGTTTAATTATCAGTAGTAATATAAAGTAATATAAAAGATGGAATAATTGATCGACTGTTCTTTGTCTCATTTTATTCATTATAACAGGAGAATAAAAATTGTATCGTTCAGCCGACAATTCATTCTATTCAATTAAAACTTATCAAACATTTTGCCTGTTGAACAACAGATACTGTCTTTAAACAGTTACTAATAGATGTTCAAAATAATCAAAAAAAAAAATAGATTTATGGGCGACAACTAATCAAAAATTGAGTCAGCTACAGTTATGGTAAGGAATTCGATGCCCTTGAGAAAATCATAATATTTATATAGATGTAAGGCGCTAACTGAAAATCGCATAGATTATTGTGATGAGAAACGCTTTTGTCAATTTCAAGCAACAAGATTAGGTTGCTGAAGTTTGATTAAATGAATAATTATTATCATTAATGTCAACAGTTTACATAAAATGATTTGTTCGTTGAAATGTTTTTTTATTCTCGAATTGAAATCAAAAAGGGTGGACTGAGACAATTCAAGAAGATTAGAGATTTATGCCTATTTATGTTGTAAGTATTTCACATTTTAATAAAACGGATCATTTTGAATAGAGGAATTGTGAACTCCAGGCCCAGTTAGTCAACAAATGGCAACTTATGGACGACCTTGTCTGACCTATCAGCTAATCAGGACATTTTTCTGGATATGTGACGAGTAACAGCACAAAGTAATAAAATAACAGTGGGATAATAGATTTGATCTGAATAATGTACCTTCATATGCCGAATTATTCCCTGTAGTAAAAGAAAATAATTAAGTTTACTCAATAAGTGTCGGAAAAATGATATGAATCGGAGTAATCAATACATGAGGTTTCTGTGACCAACTGATACTCTCTGTAATACGTAAAGTGTAGGGTTAAGTATTAAGACATATGCTGTAGTTGTGAGATAGATTTACCAAATTAGATTTCGAATTTTCATCACGAAACGAAATGAGCTATGGTGCTATGCATCGTCAAACTTCATCCAACAAACTTAAGGAGCTTAGAATTGAGAATTAGAATATTGGTTTAGAGGAGAGACTACCAATTACCTTGAAGCTCTCTTGACAGCAAATTACATCAAAACATAGTCTAAAACCTACCTTAGTTGAGGGTGAATTTTAAATTTTAGTTTAGGGACAATTTAAAAGTAACTTTTTAACTGCATAGTAGGAATTACTTAGTTAACACTAAAATATAAGCTTTCTCTAAATCAGCTTTAAATTCTGAGTAAAGTACGTGAGGTCTTATATGAATTTTAATTGATCAACTGAAGGTCGTTCGTATGTTTTATACTGTTACCCTGTTTATTCATTGAATGAAACACAGATGTGTATCGATTTCCCAGCCTTAAATAAAGCAATCATTTGCGAGAAAATAAGAAATGTACAATTAGATACACAGAGATATGATAAAACTATGAACATACTCCACAGTACAATAAAGAGTAAAAGTAAGGAAAAAGATATGTGATAAAGTATGAAAATAGCAATAGTTATACAGCCTTAAACAATACTTCATAACTAAATCTATGCAAAGTTCCAGGAAATAATTCTGTGATATGCCTTTACTGATCGTTAATAGGTCTACTGTTTGTAACAGTTCAAACATGACTTAGGATTAATCTTTGCTGCAACTGTCTCTTATTGATCATCAATTATAGACTACAGTAATCAGGATTTTTGCATAAATTCCGAAACTGGAATCAAAAATAAAATAAAATTTAACTGATATTTTCTCATATCCATGTTTTGGTCCATAGTCAATAAATGAAAAACATTTAATGACAGTAAGAAATTCTAGTTGAAGAAGGATACCAAACGATCTCTTTCAAACAACTAATAAAAATCTAAATCTAATCATAGAATTAAAAAGTGTACAGGTATAAATCTGTATTGATACAGGTATCAACCAGTAGAAAGTCTATTGCTTAGTAGTAATTTACTGAGTGTATTCAAAGTATTTAACTGTATCCTGACAATTCAACTAGCAGCATATTCGCAAAGTAATTAGTAAGTAGTTCACATTTTAATAAAATGGATCATTTTGAATAGACGAATTGTGAACTCCAGGCCCAGTTAGTGTTTATTTTTATTTATTTGTGTTAATATTCAACTGATCTGAATAAGATTACTAGACTTGATGTGCGAAAATGAATATCCTTAAGGTTAGATATAGATATAGAATACATCTAGACCGATGATCATCTGATTTTCTATCTGTCCTAAGCAATACATTAAGGGATATTTGCCTTCAGTTTTGGCATATTGTAGTATAGTTTTCAAACTAAGTTACTTCATTGATTATGCTATTGATCCGTTCCTAAATGTTTGGATAGTCAATCGAGAAGAAAGCCACGCACATTGTGGATTGATGAACTATTTGATTAATGTTCATGATGAATGTTCAAAATATTTAAACGACTTTTAATTGTATAAATACGCACGTTTGATTGTAAATTTTTGATTCTGACAATGAGCGTTCTCCAACGTCTTCCGTCTTGTTATTTTTGAACGGAGGGGTCTAACGTTCGGTTGTCATTAGTAGAGTGGTTTGGCGTTACATCAAGTACAAAACATAAAAGTGACGACGGGGAAAAAAGCCATATCCACAAAACATAAAAGTGACGACGGGGCTTACAATTCACAATGTCAATTACCCTTGAACAGATAGAATCTTTATTGGAACGTCAAGGAAAACGATATGAACAGTTCCAGGAACGTATGTTGGAGTTGTTAATGAAACAAATGAATTTGAATCACAGAGGTCTTACCGACGACTCATATAATCCACATACAGACTCGATAGTTAATTCCATTCATGAATTCCATTTTGATGGCCTTGCTGGTGTGACTTTCGAGTTTTGGTTCAAGAAGTATGAGGATTTGTTCAAGGTTGACCTCAACAAACTTGATGACGCCACCAAAGTCAGAATCCTCTTGAGAAAGCTCGGCACAATCGAACACGAACGTTATAGTAATTTCATCCTCCCAAAGAACCCACGAGATTTCTCTTTTGATGCTACAATTGAAACGCTGTCGCAAATCTTCTCTGAACAGTCATCTCTCTTTAATATTCGTTATCAATGCCTCAAAATAACCAAGTCAAATGAAGATGACTGGGTAAAGTACGCCGGCTTAGTAAATCGT